AATTTTAAAAAAAGGCGGGGGGGGGCGGGGCCTGAATGAGATGGACTGACACAGTGGCTGCTATGATGGGCTCAGGTATAGCAAGGATTGTGAGGATGGCATAGGACTGGGCAATATTTCGCTCTGTTGTACACAGGATCACTATGATTGACAGCTAACTTGACGGCACCTAACAACAACAATTCAGCTTCTTTATATACACAGCATTACGTTCTGGAAATCTAAATCACAAGAGTACTTACACATATGCATTAGATAATGCAAGGATATTCAGCAGAGCATTGTTTGCAGCAGTTAAAGACCAGAAATAATCACTAGGAGAATTTTAATCGATTATATAATAGATACAGTATGGATTACTAAGCATTCATTTAAAAGAACAAGGTAGATCTTTATCTGCTGACACAGAAAGATGCCCATGGCATGTGAAATGAAAAAAAAGAGTTATGAAGAATATATACTATAATCTCATTTTGTAAAAAAATCCATTTAAAATATACATAGTATTTGTCTATGTATGTAAACGTATACTTTACATGATTTGTGTAAACAAAGAAAAAGATCTGTTTTGTTCTACATAAGAGGCATCTATTAGTTTTTTTCCTTGTTTTTATTAGGTGCTGCTGAGTTGGCTCAACTCATAGCAACCCTATATACAACAAAACAAAATACTGTCTGGTGTGTGCCATCCTCACAATACTTGCTATACTTGAGTCTATCGCTGCCATCACTATGTCAATCCATCTTGTTGAGGGTCTTCCCCTTTTTTGCTGACCCTCTACTAAACCAAGCATGATATCCTTCTCCAGGGCATGGTCCCTTCTGACAACATGACCAAAGTAGGTCAGACGAAGTCTGGCCATTCTCGCGTTCAAGAAAAATCTGGCTGTACTTATCTTTTGTTTTGTTTGATTTTAATTTTTATTGTGATTTGGGTAAAAGTTTACAAAGCAAATTCATTTTCCATACAGCAGTTCATACATAGTTTGTTTCATGACACTGATTACGATTCCCCAGAATATAATAGCTCTCTTCCCACTTCCTCCCTGTACTTACCTCTTCCCTGTGTTCTTCTTCACTATGCATCCCTACCCCTTGAGCTGTCTCCCTGTGCAAACACTGACCTTCTGTTCTCCCGCAATTGATTGCACTAAGAAGTGTATCTGCCTGATGTAAATGTTCACCCTATACACCTGTCTATTGTTTGGCTGGAAGCCACATGAGTGAGTTTAGTTCTAGACCTAAGGGTAACGAGGGGCCATAGTCTCAGGGGTCTCACCAGGCTCTATCAGACTGGTCTTTTTTTTTTTTTTTTTAAATTTTGAATTTTGTTCCACATTGTTCTTCCACTCTATGCAGGATCTCCTGCACTGATCCCTTTCCCAGTGGTTGACTGTGGTAGCTGAGCACCATCTACTTCTTCTAGTCTCATGTTCATATAAGCTGCAGGTCGCATGGTCTACTAGTCCCTTGAACTAATTGTTTCCATGTGTCTTGGGTTTTCTTCATTATTCTTCACTCTGGATGAGGATACACCCACTGTTGCATCTAGATGGCTGTCTGCAAGCTTTTAGGACCCCAATCGCTACTCACCAAACTGGGACATAGAACCATGTTTTTGTCTGGCTGCACTTCTCCCAAGACATCAGATTTGTTCGTTCTTCTCGCAGTTCATGGTATTTTCAGTATTCTTCACCAACACCGTAATTTAAAGGCATCAACTCTTCTTCCGTCTTTCTTATTCACTGTCCAACTTTCACATTCATATGAGGTGACTGAAAATACCATGGCCTGGTTTAGGCATATCTTAGTCTTCAAAGTGACATCTTAGTTTCGTAACACTTTCAAGAAGTCTTTTGCAACACATTTGACCAGAACAATACGGCTTCTGATTTCTTGACTGTTGCTCCCATGGGTGTTGATTGTGGATCCAAGTAACATGAAATCCCTGACAATTTCAATCTTTTCTCCATTTATCATGATGTTTTATTGGTCCAGTTGTGAGGATTTTTGTTTCCTTTAAGTGTAATCCATACTGAAGACTGTAGTCTTTAATCTTCATGAGTACTTCAAGTCTTCTTCACTTTCAGCAAGCAAGGTTGTGTCATCTGCATTCTGCAGGTTAACAAGTCTTCCTCCAACCCTGATACAATGGTCTTCTTCATATACTCCAGCCTCTCAGATTATTTCCTTCAGCACACAAACTGAGTAAGTACGGTTAAAGGATACAACCCTGATGGATATCCTTCTTGATTTTAAACCATGCAGTATCCCCTTGTTTTGTTAGAATAACAGCTTCTTCGTCTATGTACAGTCCCTCATGAGCACAATTAAGTATTCTGGAATTCCCATTCTTTGCAGTGTTATCCATAATTTGTTATGATCCATGAAGTCAAATGCCTTTGCATAGTCAATAAAACACAGGTAAACATGTTTCTGGTAATTCTTTGCTTTCAGCCAAGATCCATCTGACATCAGCAATGATACCTCTCATTCCACAACCTCTTCTGAATCCAGCTTGAATTTTTGCAAGTTCTGTCAATATACTGCTACAACTACTTTTGAATTATCTTCAGCATGTATTAATGATACTGTTAGATAACTTCCACATTCTGTTGGATCACCTTTCTTTGGAATGGGCAAAAATACCAATCTCCTCCAGTTAGTTGCCCACGTAGCTGTCTTGGCAAATTTCTTGGCATAAATGACTGAGTGCCTCTAGTGCTGTATCTGTTTGTTGAAAGACCTCATGGGTACCATCAATTCCTGGAGCCTTGTTTTTCACCAAATCCTTCAGGGCAGCCTGCCTGGACTTCTTCCTTCAATATCATCAGTTCTTGATTATATGCTGCCTCTTGAAATGGATGAATGTTCACCAATTCTTTTTACTACAGGGACTCTGTATTTCTTCCATCTTCTTTTGATGCTTCCTGCATCATTCAATATTTTGCCCACACAATCCTTCAATACTGCAACTCGAGGCTTGAATTTTTCTTCAGTTCTTTCAGCTTGAGAAATGCCAAGTGCACTCTTCTCTTCTGGTTTTCTAACTCCAGGTCTTTGCATATTTCATTATAATACTTTGTCTTCTCCATCTGCCCTTTGAAATCTTCTGTTCGGCTCCTTTATCTTGTCATTTCTTCCATTCACTTTAGCTACTCTCCATTCAAGAGCAAGTTTCACAGTCTCTTCTGACATCCATTTTGGTCTTTTCTTCCTTTCCTGTCTTTTTAATGATCTTTTGCTCTCTTCATATATGATGTTCTTGATGTCATCCCAAACCCCACCTGGTCTTCGGTCACTGGTGTTCAATGTGGCAAGTCTATTCTTCAGATGATCTCTAAATTCAGGCAGAATATAATCAAGGTCATAGTTTGGCTCTCATGGACTTGTTTTAATTTTCTTCAGTTTCAACTTGAACTTACATATGGGCAATTGATGGTCTATTCTACAGTCAGCTCCTGACCTTGTTTAGACTAAAAATATTGAACTTCTCTACTGCCTCTTTCCACGTATTTAGTCAGTCTGATTCCGATGTATTCCACTTGGTGAGGTCCATATATGTAGCTGCCATTAATGTTGCTGAGAAAGGTATTTGCAATGAATAAGTCATCGGTCTTGCAAAATTCAATCATGAAATCTCTGGTGTCATTTCTATCACCAAGGCTATATTTTCCAACTACCAATGACTCTTTCTTGTTTCCAACTTTCACATTCCAATCACCAGTAATAATCAATCCACCTGGGTTGCATGTTTGGTCAATTTCAGACTGCAGAAGTTCATAAAAATCTTCAATTTCTTCATCTTTGGTTTTAGTGGTCAATGCGTAAATGTGAATGATAGTAGTGTTGTTAACTGGTCTTCCTTGTAGGTGTACAGATATTACCCCATCACTGACAGCATGGTATTTCAGGA